ATATAAATGTATTTTGAGAATTGAACTAATCGCAGGGCATATAATGTTATTAGGCAAAGATCAATAGAAGTGTTTCATATAGTTCAAGTTGATTGGAGAGGACAAATAAGAGAATTGAAAAGCAAAGTCGGTTGATTATTTTGAATATGTGTTTCATTTTCAATTGAATCAAATTACGAATGCTAATAAAGAATTGCGGATTCTATTATGCATAATCAATAGATGGAGTAAATGTCAAAGCAGAAGATGGGTAATTTCAAACAAAAGAATTGAAGTTCCAAGTCTGTTAGGTTTTGATGTTTCCATTTCAAATACAAGTAACTCATCAAATATATTAATTTAGTTAAGGATAAGGTAGTCACCATCCAAGTTCTAGGCAAGAATGGAATTGAGGGTGATGAACTTCTTGTTCTATTGTAAATTGACATTAATCAATTATTACAAAGTAATTTCAAAGGATTATTCTGGCATCAAGTTGTTGAAACAGGTTTTTGTGAAGCAAGAAATGTTCTGACTGATTTGAATTAGAAATAGAAAACAATAAATTTAGACAAGATTTAATTGGATACAAGAATGCTAAGATGAAATTAACATTATCAGGGAACAGGAAGTCCTAAAGATTGTAGAAGAAAAGTAGTTTATCAAAAAAATACCATAGCTCGATTAGAGGATAATTTTAATTTTGAATACAATGGAAATATTATAGAATTTGATTGGACTGATTATAGTGTGTTGAAACATCCAGTGTAAATTTAATTGACGAAATTGTAATTGACATCAGCATGATCAATTTAATCATACCAGTAGACTGGAAACAATTAGTTGCTATTCAATATGTGGAATTAGAAATGATATTCCCATAATTTTACAGTTTCGAAGGTAGATCTTTCAGCATATGAGATTATCTTATGCCTCAATTTATGATGTTTTTATCACTAATACTGGGATAACAAATCAGGGTTGGATTAACTTAAAGTATTGAGTAGTCACCACACATTAATTAATTATCTTTAGATTAAAAATATTGTTAAATTTTTAGAATTTGTCATGTTCGTTATTTCAAGGTCTTTAGAAGACTCTTAATACATATTAGCACTATAAATTTATTTATAATGAAGAACAACAGTTAGTGATTTAGACTTGAATTTAGCTGAATTTTAGGTTTTAGATTATTGTTAAAGAGTCAAGCGAACAATTCAAAGCAGACAATCAAAGTTTTATTTAACACTTTAATTAAATTGAAGCATACACAGCCAAATCTATCAAAAACAGAGTTAGGTACAATTTCGAATGTGCAGAATTCTCTCGTTAATTAAAATATACATGTCTTACATACTTATCATCAAAAATAGCTTTATTCTTGTAAAGGAATAAACAAGGGCCTCGGGAAAGAGAATTCTGGAGATAAAAATAACAAAAGAGGCATCAATGTTCTGAAGAAACACAATTAACTCAAAGTTTCACATTTTTCATAAAGAAATCAAGATTATTGAATTGGATACACAATACTTAGTGTATAAGGAGATAAAGAGTTAGTTTAATATTGGCAAATCGAAAATTTGATTAATAGATTATTTGAAAGATATTTGGAAGGATTTTCAAAATAAATATATTGGACCTGATTTGAGATTGAGAATGAAATATAGTAAGTAAAAGTACTGAATTATAACTATTAATGACTGAAGACTGAGGTTGAAGAATCATAGAATTACGAATTTAGTTTACCAATGTTACAACTCTTTAACAATTAAATTATAAATTAATGACAATATAGTTGCTGAAATAAATATTGTGTTCCTGAGCAATTCATAGTACCCATAACAAATCTAATTTTTTGATGTGTGTACTATGAATTGCAAACTTAAGAACATTTGGATCATGGGATGAAGCAAAAAAAAATTATAGAATTTGAATTGAGTCGAGTGGTTTCTGAGGTTTCACAAAGTCATAAAAAAAATAGATGAGAAATAGAATAGAAGTTATTCATAAACAATATCAAACAAATATTTGGATATCGAAGGAGTATTAAACTTCAAGGAATAGATAAGAGAATGAATTTAGGATGAAAAATTTTTGATTAAATAATATTACCTCCTGAAGATGAGGATCAGTCTTACTTAAAAATTGCAAATATGAATGAATGGTGATGTTTTTTTGAGTTTTAAATTATACAGCATAAAATAAAATTCTAAGTTCCTTCAATATCAAAGACAGAGATATCTTTATTAAAGTTTTATTGAATAAACTCATACAGAGAATGTCAACTACTTTCTGGCACAACACCAGATAAAGCATTTTCAGTACTTAAAATGAATGATTGATTTACAAATATATTTTCAAGAATTAACTGACGAATCTCTTCTAATTGAAACCAATTAGAAAATTTTTGAGACCTAATACATCCAAATAGTTCCATTCTTAAGGGATAAGGTTGAAATAACTGCTCTCACTCAATTAGATGATTATTCTAAGATTTACGATTTTGTCAATGAGAATCTTAAGAATACAATATAAAGATGTGAATTTCTTTAGACAGAGATCACAATCTTTTAAATAAGCCAATCTGCTTTGTTGGTGTGTTCCATTTATAAGATTACACTTCAGAAGATGAAGAATTCATTCAATATACACAATTCAAGAATAACAACACTAGCCTTGGCAGCAATAATTAAATCATTATTATAGGTATAGATAGAAATGTGCATAGCTCACTCACTACCTTATCATATATGATAGATAGTTTTAAGCATCATCAATCTACTACTATCGCTTAAATTACCTCTTTTTGGTAGAGGTTAGTTTTTAATTTGTAATTTATTCATACAACTCTCATAAGCAATTAACTCTTCTTTCTAGATGTAGCACAACCAGAAAATCTTAGATCAGACTCAACTCCTGATATTTACCATCTATGATGAGCTTGTTCNAACAAGGGCCTAGGGAGAGAGAATTCTGGAGATAAAAATAACAAAAGAGGCATCGATGTTCTGAAGAAACATAATTAACTCAAAGTTTCACATTTTTCATAAAGAAAGCAAGATTATTGAATTGGATACATAATACTTAGTGTATAAGAAGATAAAGAGTTAGTTTACTATTGGCAAATCAAAAATTTGATTAATAGATGATTTGAAAGATATTTGGAAGGATTTTCAAAATAAATATATTGGACCTGATCTGAGATTGAGAATGAAATATAGTAAGTAAAAGTACTGAATTATAACTATTAATGACTGAGGACTGAGATTGGAGAATCATAGAATTACGAATTTTAGTTTACCAATGTTACAACTCTTTAACAATTAAATTATAAATTAATGATAATATAGTTGCTGAAATAAATTTGTGTTCCTGAGCAATTCATAGTACACATAATAAATCTAATGATTTGATATGTTTGTACTATGAATTGCAAACTTAAGAATATTTGGATCATGGGATGAAGCAAAAAAAAATTATAGAATTTGAATTGAGCCAAGTGGTTTCTGAGGTTTCACAAAGTCATCAAAAAAATGGATGAGAAATAAATAGAAGTTATTCATAAACAATATCAAACAAATATTTGGATATCGAAGGAGTATTAAACATCAAGGAATAGTTAAGAGAATGAATTTTAGGATGAAAAATTTTTGATTAAATAATCTTGCCTCCTGAAGATGAGGATCAGTGTGACTTAAAAATTGCAAATATGGATGAATGGTAGCATAAAATAAAATTCTAAGTTCCTTCAATATCAAAGACAGAGATATCTTTATCAAAGTTTTATTGAATAAACTCATACAGAGAATGTCAACTACTTTCTGGCACAACACCAGATAAAGCATTTTTCAGTACTTAAAATGAACGATTGATTTACAAAATATATTTTCAAGAATTAACTGACGAATCTCTTCTAATTGAAACCAATTAGAAAATTATTGAGACCTAATACATCCAAATAGTTCCATTCTTAAAGGATAAGGTTGACATAACTGCTGTCACTCAATTAGATGATTATTCTATGATTTATGATTTTGTCAATGAGAATCTTAAGTTTACAATATAAAGATGTGAATTTCTTTAGACAGAGGCCACAATCTTTTAAATAAGCCAATCTGCTTTGTTGGTGTGTTCCATTTATTAGATTACACTTCAGAAGATGAAGAATTCATTCAATATACACAATTCAAGAATAACAACACTAGCCTTGGCAGCAATAATTAAATCATTATTATAGGTGTAGATAGAAATTAGCATATCCCACTCACTACCTTATCATATATGATAGATAGTTTTTGCCATCATCAATCTACTACTATCACTTAAATTACCTCTTTTTGGTAGTGGTTAGTTTTTAATTTGTAATTTATTCATAGAACTCTCATAAGCAATTAACTCTTCTTTCTAGATGTAGCACAACCAGAAAATCTTAGATCAGACTCAACTCCTGATATTTACCATTTGTGATGAGCTTGTTCTGAATGTCTAAGGAGAATATTTCAACTGCATATTATTGAAGTAACTGAAATTCTCATAAAAAAATTTCGGATTTGAGGAGCATAAAGTATGAGAACAACCTCAACCATCTTTGATAAGCCCTGTCTCTCATCGTAACGGTTGAAATATATTTAGAACAATAAATTCAGAAAAATCAGTGCTGAACGACTTAGACTCATTTATTCATTAATTTGTGATGAACTTGATCTCCTCATAATTGGTAGATGCTTGATGTTGGCAAATTTCAATCGTATATTTAATGACGAATATATGAGTCTATACTCAATGTAAATGACAATCGAAGTGAAATTATTATGAAATATAAGCATGACTTCTATAGCCTTACTTTTTAATCATAATCATCCAATTTGGTAAAAACAAAATTTACTCTTAAACTTAAATGGTTTTTATCGTAAGCTTTACCTGCACATCATATTAATTGTTAAAGGAACGAATGCAACTGTTAGTTCTCTTCTTAAGTTTTATATCTGATGGCTGCATTATCACTTTAAGCAATTCTTTGTAAAAATAACTAGTAGCATTAATAATACGATGATGAATTTGCTAAAACAATTTCTGTTTTAAACGATATTAAGTTGCTGCTTAGATTGATTCGATCAAAGCAATCCTAATTTCCCATAAATAATCAAGTAGGTGCTCGCCTTTTATGGCTCCCTCCTGATAATTTAGATGGTGATGCTTCAATCACTTCTCAATTGCGCTTAATCATTGTTTTTAAACATTAAAAGAGCAATTACAACAATGACCATCAATTCACATTGTAAAAAGCACGCTATCAAAGATTTGATGTAATTTTACTAAGAAATACATTTACAGTTTCTTTTTTACTTTCTATGCAGTTATTGACAAGTGTGTCAATAACTGCAATTTTTAATAATGATATGGTTTGCATTTGTAGAGAGGCTCTGATAATAATAAAGAATTTAAAATTAAATACTCAGGCCAAGTTTAGAATTTATGATTTATATCCTGAAATGTATTTACAAAATAAACTGAACCAATCCTAGTTATTAAGAATTCTACAAGGAGTTATGCATTAAGCATCATCATTTTTAGTATACCGAACTGCATAATCACACTTAGTTCCAATCATCATCAAATGAGATGAAATTAAAGTTTGCTAAAAATGAACAAACTCAGGAGTTGTATTACTCCAATACAATATTTAATTTGAAAGATCTATTCATAAAGTGTCAAAAATTGTATATATCTAAAGGAAAGGATGTATCTCCCAATAAATAGCAGTGAGAAAATAGTCAGCAAAAGTACATGACATGGTTCTAAACTTCTGATGGGGTTTCTGCATTTTTCTTAGTAACATCGTAATAAAAATTTAGATAAATTAGTTTGTTTTGAATATAGCCAAGCATTTAGCGACTTTATTTCAGCAAAGTATTGCTACAACACTATAGCATGCACACAATCCATTAAACTTAAAAAGTTGTAAAAAGTAAACTTATGTAGCGATACTATTTGATATGAATATATTGAATTGTCATCGTCTCAAAAAATAAGTTATTACTATATTGAACTTGACTTTTATTGGCAGGCCAATAATAAAAGAAACACTCATGGTAGAAACTAATTATTTATACTACGTTGGAATTGTAAGTATTTCTTACGCTAAAAAATTTTAGAATATAATAATTCTTGTTAGTAGAAAAAGTTAAACAACTCAATATTTGTGTAAACGAAGTAGAAGGATGATTGTCACTTCAATATAATCAATGTTTAAATTAGGATTTACTAATACAAAGACTGCATTCTGCACTCTCTGAGTATATTAACTAAGAAAGAAAGCAGAGCTGTTGTTAAGGTTGTACACTAAGTTAGTATACCAAATCTCCAACTTTAATTACAAGATTAACATTGTATAAGAACAGAAATTAGAAATTTAAAATGCAATAGTGTTTCCTTTGATATTGATACGGTAAATAATTCACTTGTCATTTTAGCGATAGTGCCTGCACCACATTTACATAATAACAATCCTGGCAATGATTAATTATCAGCAACTCATGTACATAAAATGCTCAATTTTAGGAATTCTAAAATAATTAATAAGGTGAGAGAAATCTCCATAAGTTAATGATATATACTAAAGAGTTTAAGAAGCCTTGAAACATTTTCAGAGTTAAATAGAAAAGTATTCTATGTACTATTTAGCATAATTCTTATTTGTAAAATGCATCACCTTAGTTCTTATAGCCATCATAATATGTATCACATTCGGAGTAGTTTCAATTAGTAATTATCAAGATACATCAAGTTGAGAAGAGGATCTTGACACTTTATAAATTGCCTTGTGTTTTTAATTAAACAGTGATCATCCTATTAGCATGTATTACCTTTAGTACACAATTGTTTGGACAACCATCAGTAAAGATGGTTCAGAGCTGTCCAAATTAAACAAATATTATATTTTTCACATTAATTACAAATTTTTTTGGAAGCAGCTATAGTATTAAAACTATCTATACATAAAACCTTTGTTGTTTCATACCACAATACTGATCTCTATATTACTTGTGATGTTGATCTGGGCCTAATCGAAGATATGAGACTAAATTAGGATTAAATTATGTGTATTTAATTAAGAACTCGTTCAGATTGAATACAATCTAGATTTGGTGAGCGTTGCAGTTATTACACTAAGAAAATGTGAATAGCTTGACCTGATATAAGTATCCACAATTCTTAAAATGAAGGCTGGTATCCAAATAATGGATCTATAGTAGAAATAACATAATTTTATATCTAATGACCCTTGTCCTAATTTATCTCAATAATTACATATTTGGGTATTCTTTTGCCGCTTTCACATTGTAACTACCCATCCTCAATATTACAATTTAGTTCTCTTAGTTTGCTTAATTAAGTTCATTAATATGAAGGTCGTGTTGAACTTTTTAATTTCATACTTTTGAAGCTAATATTTCATTGATGATGGATTCCACCTTCGTTGAAACAACTGAATCACCTTTATGCTATCATGTTTAAGTTGTTCAAATAATACTCAATTAGTGCTGTTATAGGTTTAGAGATGTCACCTAATATGTAGTTCTATGTACTGTATCATATAACAATAAGATAAAATAGACGTTTAGATTATACTGCTTATACTTTAAGTTTTATACAATATGCCCAAACTCAAAAAAAGCAATTAGTTTGCTGATTTATCTCCATAATAAGATGAGTTTTGAGATATGCTTCTCTAATTGACTATTAGATTATCACGCAAATCTTATTTACTCGATGATAAAAATATTTCTATTAAGCAGCAACACCTACTACACCTTTGTAACTATTTTTATATCTTAGAATTCTCTTTCAGCTCTAATATTGTTGGATCAGCTTAAGCTCCTCTAAGCTCCTGAGGCAATAATTGTAGAGTTTTGCTGATCATATTTTTAAGTCTTCTAATCATTATGTTCCGATTTATTTCACTGCTAATTGAATTAAATCATTACCATTAATTGGAAATGTGACTATCAATTTTTTCGAAAAAATTCATATTTTTTCTAATGTTAAATAGTGATGATAAGAGGTTGATACATCCTTGATAATACAATAACCATAAAATAAAAAATAGATTAATGTTCAACTCTAAGTTTTGTTGTAAACAATGCAGAGTTTGATAGTATATCCAGATTGTTAATTTGTTAAAGAGTTGACTCATAAGTATCTCCTTACACTCCCAGTACTGAATATCTTTGACTGCATATAATTTTGCTGTTATAATGCAAAGATCTGAGCAAAGTGTAGAATTATAATTGTAATTTGCTAAATAAGATCCAGTAATGCGTTATGCTTATAAATAAGTAGTATGAGAAGTTCCATCTTCTCATACTACTAGTAAAATTTGCAAAGCTAATTATAAATTCTCCAATATACCTTAAAGTTTTACTTGCATCAGAGTGGCTGCTAGTAATTTCTTAGCTTGTGATATGGATGAACCTCTACAGCGTTTCGCCAATAAGCAATGTTTATTTTTATGTTTTTGCCTTTCAGCGGCTTTATTATTATTCAGATCTATTAATTAAAATATTATTTTGAATCATACTAACCATAATAATATCTTCCTTGTAGGTTTTTCTAAGTTGAATTATATTTCGAGCTGATTATCATATGCAAACCAGTTCAGATTATATTATTTATAACGTTATCCCAATTTATGATGAACATGTGGCCAATTTAATACATTATAAAGGGATTCATAACTGAAATTATTTACATGTTTTGCAAACTATATGTTGATCAAGTGGTACAACCTTCAAAACATTAAACAAATCTCTGCTATTGATCTCTCATATATACGAACCACTTAAGGCATTACAAGTAAATCTCTAGCTCTTCATGCTTATGAGACCTATAAAAAACAAATATCCAAAATTTTATTTCATACATTTCAATCTGTCCACATAAAACTATATGTATTAGGCCTATATCAAATTTGACTTTACAAGAAAAGTATGCATATTTATCATAAACAAATTTTTCACAAGATTAATAAGTGTACATAACACAAAACTCCAGTATAGATTTGCAAATCATGGATATGAAGAATATTAGAAGTTGATATTAAGTGCTGAATATTATTAATAGCATCAGAAATTTTTTTACTCTTTGAACTTCTATCTATTATTCAACTAATTATGTTAACTCGATTTCTTTTATTTTTAATAATTTGATGCTTGATTTTATGGAACCTGTCGCTTTACTTCTTGGTGTAGAATATATTGATGATTTTTAATCGTTTTCTCCATAAAATTTTTCGCTATCTCCTCCCATTGAATATAAATTATTTACTTTTTTATGCCAGTATTCANAAATCATTACCATTAATTGGAAATGTGACTATCAATTTTTTCGAAAAAATTCATATTTTTTCTAATGTTAAATAGTGATGATAAGAGGTTGATACATCCTTGATAATACAATAACCATAAAATAAAAAATAGATTAATGTTCAACTCTAAGTTTTGTTGTAAACAATGCAGAGTTTGATAGTATATCCAGATTGTTAATTTGTTAAAGAGTTGACTCATAAGTATCTCCTTACACTCCCAGTACTGAATATCTTTGACTGCATATAATTTTGCTGTTATAATGCAAAGATCTGAGCAAAGTGTAGAATTATAATTGTAATTTGCTAAATAAGATCCAGTAATGCGTTATGCTTATAAATAAGTAGTATGAGAAGTTCCATCTTCTCATACTACTAGTAAAATTTGCAAAGCTAATTATAAATTCTCCAATATACCTTAAAGTTTTACTTGCATCAGAGTGGCTGCTAGTAATTTCTTAGCTTGTGATATGGATGAACCTCTACAGCGTTTCGCCAATAAGCAATGTTTATTTTTATGTTTTTGCCTTTCAGCGGCTTTATTATTATTCAGATCTATTAATTAAAATATTATTTTGAATCATACTAACCATAATAATATCTTCCTTGTAGGTTTTTCTAAGTTGAATTATATTTCGAGCTGATTATCATATGCAAACCAGTTCAGATTATATTATTTATAACGTTATCCCAATTTATGATGAACATGTGGCCAATTTAATACATTATAAAGGGATTCATAACTGAAATTATTTACATGTTTTGCAAACTATATGTTGATCAAGTGGTACAACCTTCAAAACATTAAACAAATCTCTGCTATTGATCTCTCATATATACGAACCACTTAAGGCATTACAAGTAAATCTCTAGCTCTTCATGCTTATGAGACCTATAAAAAACAAATATCCAAAATTTTATTTCATACATTTCAATCTGTCCACATAAAACTATATGTATTAGGCCTATATCAAATTTGACTTTACAAGAAAAGTATGCATATTTATCATAAACAAATTTTTCACAAGATTAATAAGTGTACATAACACAAAACTCCAGTATAGATTTGCAAATCATGGATATGAAGAATATTAGAAGTTGATATTAAGTGCTGAATATTATTAATAGCATCAGAAATTTTTTTACTCTTTGAACTTCTATCTATTATTCAACTAATTATGTTAACTCGATTTCTTTTATTTTTAATAATTTGATGCTTGATTTTATGGAACCTGTCGCTTTACTTCTTGGTGTAGAATATATTGATGATTTTTAATCGTTTTCTCCATAAAATTTTTCGCTATCTCCTCCCATTGAATATAAATTATTTACTTTTTTATGCCAGTATTCACTTCCGTAGTATCCAATTAAAGACATATTTAAGATTCTCTTCTGGATCTTCCGCTACAATGTTTCAGTGTAATACATTTTTAATTTCGGTTGGGCTAACTTTTAGCCTTTTTTGCAATAATTCCATATAAATTTTGAAATATATTATTAGATTTAACAAAGTTATTTCATAGGGGTTGTTACTGTAATTTTTATTTATATAGTTTCGATTCTTGTATAATTCTTGCTTAAATAAAGGGTCAAAATATAAGGCAAGTAGTTTTATTAATTGAACAATGTTATTGTTGTATCAAAGTAAGATTCCACTAATCATTTAGTCTGCAACACATTTTGCAGCAATATTGAATTGTGTAAATGCTGCTAACAATGTTTGAGTAACTTCATAAGCAAGGCATAATATTGGGAATTGAGAAATAATATTGAATAGTTGGCATAATTAAGATGACTACCTGAAAAAAGCAGAATTGATTTTAATAGAGGTTTTTGAAATTTTTAATAGTAACAATTTAACAATTAATTTCAAAATAAATTAATGAAGATAAGAGATTAACTTTAGAAAGTTAATGAAAATAAGAATTACCATAATCAAGAACAATTTAAATACTCTAGGAGTCTATTTTAAAGAATTACTCGAATCAAATGTCATGACAATTAAAATAACAATCATTAAAATACCTTCATGGATATAAAATTTGTTAAAATTCAGAACTTGTAAATCTTCTTTATTTAAATCCGATAGCATTAATTCTTCGATATTGAAAAAAAGTGATATAGACCTCAATGCATGGAGCTAGGAAGATCGGAATTGAAATTTTTGGCAGTCAGGCAATACAAATTCCATTATGTTGGATGAAAATTATGAAGATTATATGAATTCCCTTTTATAGGAAGACCTTACAAATTCATACCTTTCTAAATCATGGTTTGGATTAGGCCTCCGCTATATCTTTTTTGAAACCAATTGGGCAATAGATAATTATTTAATCCAACTTACACTTGAGCTATTCTAATTAGTAAAATAATACATTTTATTTTCAACTTTTTATGATATCATAAATAACTTTAATATTTGTGTTCAATTTTATTGACTTAAAGGTATATATTACAGAGAGGCGAAGATATTGAAATGATTTCTATTAAATTGATATACAGTGAAGAATCCTTGGATAGGATGTCAATTATTTTAAGATTGTCAAACAACTTGAATTCTTCACAATTAAAAATTATTTCTTCAATTCTCAAACAACTAATCAAAAATTGAGGAGGAGAGTTCTTAAGTTTAGAATTTTAAGAATAAATTGTGTCAATCCTGTCTAAAGATAATAATTTCTATCTTTTGAGAGCAAAATTGTTTCTTGATTATGAAATTATTCAATCACCAATTCTGAATTTAATACATTATAAGATTTGGTAGAATTTACTCAAAATCGATAAGAAATTGATTAAATCCAAATACAATTAAAATTCAGTTAGGATGAATCCATATTTTTGATATGTTACCTTAAAAATCTTAGCGCTGGTGTGGCTTTGTTGTTAGTAATTTGGTTTGTCATTATTCTATATTCACAAAGTATCAAATTATGCACTATCATTATAAATATAATGACCTCACTTAAAAAGTTTTGATTTTCTTACTTATAAAAATGGGTTCTATAAACCTCAAAGTCAAGTAATAGTAATTCAATATTTAAAAAAAAGAAAATGAATTGCAAAAAAGAGAAGGTTGGAGATTTGTATGGGGTTTTGGCTTTGTCTAAAGATGTTGATGAAGTTGTCCTCCCTATCATAATTAAAATATTGAAAAGTGAGAAAATTTAAAACTGCTTAGAATTTCTTTCAGAAAATCTAAATCTAACTCAAATCGAATAAGAAATCTAAAAGGGTGAAAATTAATCCCAATTTAGTAAAGAATAGATCGCCAATGTTGTAAAATATAACTTTTAGAGAATAACAGATGTTCTCAAAAAAATTAAGGATCATGAATTTAATAAACAAAATTTCTCTATAGATAGATATGAAGATCTTAAAAAGGATTTGATAATCAAAATATCATGGGATAAAAAGATTATAAAATTTCTAAATTTTTTAACTCATCTTA